GTCTTTGACCTGAGTTGAAGGACGGCGTAGAGGAGTGTCTGAAAGTACAGGCTGACCCACCTAGTCCTAACTGGAGAAGCCCTGAAGGATTCTTTACCATTTTCTAAGGGGATCTCGGGATCACCCATAATGACAGCTTTAGGAGTACATCTTTTTGGCCTGATGTCATAGAGGTTGTTTGACTTAGAGTCTCATACCATGGTCATACTGGAGAGAGACTCGGGGTTTATCTAATGCAGCCAATCACCTCCCGAGGAAACATTCCCAAGAGAGAAGAGGGACAAGTGCCACAACGTGGGCAGATCCACCCCATCTGTTCATGCTGGTCCATTGGAGATCTCTTGGGCCACTATGTTTTTCTGCAGAACATTCCCACATGCACGTGGTTAAATCCAGCCCAGTGTTAGGCTCCAGATGGGTGCTCAGTCAACCAAAACAGCACCCCGCGTTTCCTGGACATTCACAGCGGCTGTGTTTCCCACTCGCTATCTTGAAGCCTGAGGAGCTCATTACAAGGAAGCATCTTTCCAGACTGGTGGGATCTGCTGAATGCCTGCCCTGGCTCATCCCGTATCGACCTTGCCTGCTGCCTCTGATCTCCCATGATTACCAGGAGGCAGTCACGAGTTTTGTGTTTTTCCTGCACACCCAACGGTGACTACTTAACCACGTCAGGGCATCTGCTCTCCAGCAGGTGAGACACACAGGAGGTGAAGAAGGCCCTTATTCCAGAGGAAGCATGACATTGAAGTCCAGGATGCTCAGCCAGGCCCCCAACATGCAAGTCAGAATCCAGGGAGAAGCAGGGCTGAGTAGAAATTACATCCCCGGCGTCACTAAGATTCCATAGAGCGTGGTTGGGGCCTGGTCACAGACTTGGGATGGAGGCTCTTCTCCCACCATTGATATGGAATGGAATGGAATGGGATAGACGAGCAGCCAGGCCCAGGATTAGATTGAAAGGCACCTCTTGGCCAACTGGGCCACAGCCATACCAAAAGTGAGGAGGACGTCTCCAGGGCCGCCTGATGAGGGCAGGTGTCACACTGTGGGGTGGATGGCAGTCATGCTTGTTCTCAGGAAGGTTTCCTGGACTAAAACTGGGTTTTATAGTAAACATTTTGCAAATGTTTAGGAGCATATTTTGATACCTCAGTTGATGGGGTGAGGGTTAATGGTCCAAAGATGCTACATGTTCTGAGTTGTAAGAATTGCTGCCCAACACCAACAGTGCCCTCCTTGAGAAACACTGACAGGAAAGTTCAACTTTGGGGTTCCAACCATTTTAATGGTCAGAAAAATACCAATTTTTGGAAACTGGGTATAAAGACACCATGATGATAGGTGCTGGGAGACTTAACACATGTATCAGAGAGAGGCCAGGGCCAATGGAGGCATGAGCGTGAATCTAGGGTCAGAACTAGCCCATGTCTGTAATACACAGCAGGAAGCTCTGCGCCCCCAGTAGACAAGGAATAGCTAAAATGCTGTGGGAGGGAGCGATTCTGTCATGGGAAATCCCAAACGGTCCTGAGGTCCTAATGAGTGGTCTTTCCCAACTCTTACATAATTGCAATGGATCTACATCCACTGGTCCACACCAAATAAGAAAGTCCTGTTCAGTTCTACTTATCTACAGCTTATCCTTTTTAGCTTTGCTGTGAAAGTTTTTCTATTGGAGGTGAAGGGAGTCTTTCCTGTGAGGGTTTTATCTCTAAATGAACAGAGGACCACAGAAAGGGGAATCCACATTTGATTCTGGGCTCTGTGGTGAATGTCGCCTGTATGCCCAGATCCCATAGTGGCTGTGTGCCCCTTTTGGTACCTCCTGAGGGGTGCCCACCCAAGCCCTGTCCCAAAGCCACAGTGCTCTCATAGGGCACGGCTTGCCCTTGCACAGAACCCAAGTCCTCCTGTCCTTCAGCTTCACCGCACGTCCTCTCCTGGGGGCAGGTGCGTTCCAAGCACAAATTTGTAAGAAAAGGGGTGGTGGGGATTGTGCAGGAAGGGAGAGCAGTTTCGCTCTTGTCAAGCTTTGCGGCTTTCCACACCCTCCACGGCATGAAGTCACTGGCTGCTGGAGCCTGAGAGACACTTGGGTGAAGTGGCTGACGTCATCTCTGTTTTACAGATAGCACAGGTGAGGCATCCAGGCTGGGACTTAAAACAGTCACTGCTGAATAGCGTCAGAGCCAGGCTTCTGAACTTCTGTGTTCCAAGCTCCTTCCATGCTGGCCTTGGTGTCTTCGCAGTCCTAGCTTTCTGTTCTCACAATTTCCTTGATTTACAGATCTGTCAGCAGTATGAGATTTTCAAATGAGAAGCATTTAAGGCTTTTAGCCTAGCTAAATGCTGCTTTGATTATTTCCCCAGTGAAATTGCAAACTCATAAGGAGAAATAAGAGAAGTGAGTACACAGATAACCACAAGACAGAAAGTTGACGTGGCCTCAAAGTCACACAGAAAGCGCTGAGCAGCTTTAAAAGGAGAGCCCCCCAGCCCCACCCCACTGGGTGCATCAGTGAAGATTGCATGACTAGGAGGAGAAAGGGGACACAGACTTTATGAGGCCCTTTTGCATGTGCATTATTCCATTTGATTTTTGACCAAATCCATCTTGCTTTATATGGAAATATCAGTAGAGAGAATGTTCTATATTTAAAACTCAGGGGGCGGGACAGGGCATGGGGAAAACCCTGTGTTTGTGTGTGTTAAAAACAAAATATGTATCTGATCTGCAGCTTGTCAACTCTGGCTCTCTTTTCCCCAGGGCTCAGCATTGAGTCATTCAAGCATTGGTCAGGGCTTCACGTTTTCCTGACATCTATTGTACATGATTGAAATAATTAAAGAAGCATTTAGTTGGGCAAATAACCTTAAATGTTTCCATTCTTAAAGTTTCCTATTAGAGATCGCCAGTAATTCAGTGGTTGGGTCCCCAGGCCCCCCACACTGGAGGAGCAGGAAAGCTTCTGCTCATTGAGTGAAGGGCAAGAGCCAGGTGCCCTTTCCCAGGCCGTGAACAGAGGCTTTGGGGGCTCTAAGTGCCTTCTGCCCTCCCTCCTGAAGGGGAGCCACACAGACTGTAAGCCTGTTGAGCAGGCCCTTGTGAAGGCCCAGTGGGCTCTGAGCAGAATGCACAGTCTCATTCCCCTGCGCCACTGCATCTGTGACAGACAGAGCCAATTAAAAATAGGGGCTAGAGACAAAGTAGATTAGTGGTTGCCAGGGTCTGCAAAGAGTGGAGAAGGGGGGGTGACTACTGATGGGTACGGGGTTTCCTTTTGGGGTGATGAAAATGTCCTGGAATTCAATACTGGGGATGGTTGTACAACTTTGCAAATATATTAGAAACTACTAAATTGAACACTTTAAAGGGGTGAATTTTATGGTATGTGAGTTATATCTCAGTATTCATAAAGCTGTTATTTAAAAAAATAAAAAGTAAGGAACAACCTCTAACCACTCACTTTACACCACGTAAACAAGATAAGATGGAAAAATATCATTTTATTCGCTCTTACACTACTCACCCCTTCTCTAAGCACCACAGCTGTGTTAGAAATTTTCCACCAAACCAAGAGAAGGGTCTATGAAGGAGCATTGGGGCGGGGGAAGGGCAGGGACCTCAGTCTGCATGTTCCTTCACATCCAGGAAACTACAGTGAGCGACCTGGGAGTGGGAAGGCCTCACAGGAACCCGAGGTGCTCACTGTCGTGAGACTGTGGAGCACCAGGAGAAACCTGAAAGAAGCTCCTTCCTAAGCATAGGGTGTCCCACCACCCATCAGTGGTTCCTGATATTCCACAGTGCTCATTTCTTTGGATAAAATTACCAAAGGACCACCTTTGAAGTGAATGTGCTCCAGGAGGAAGGATACAATTCCTTTACTCTCCATTAATACCTCGGAATGAGTGATTTTATCTGAGTAGCTGGACAGTCACTTGGCAAGGCCACAGAAAGACACAGGTGTAGAGTCAGTGCAGCACGTAGATGATTTCCCAGTGAGTGGTGCAGACGCACATGCACCTGAGGTCAGGGTGGAGTGCCAGCCGGGGCTGGTTGTATACCTCAGCCAAGGACACAGAAAAACCGGGGGTAGCCTGAATTGGCCTTCAGGGGGATTTAGAGTGAAAATTTAAAGTCTTTTTAGGGCAGGGATTTTGCTGAATCACAGCACTTGATGACATGAGGAGGTTGTAAGCATCTTCTGAAAACTGAGGTAAGAGTCGGGGAGTGTCAGGAGAATGGGTATGTATGTGAACTGAGGCAGCTTTAAGGAGAAAGGAGGCAGACCCTGCCCCCAAAATAGTGAATTTGTTTATGGAAAAGATTTCTTTTAAGTAGAGATCTCCTAGCCAAGGGATAAACTTAAGGCCCTCTTAAAGGTTACTTTCCAAAGCATGTCAGAACAGAGCTCACTTATATAGGCAGTGTGATTGTAAGTGCTCTTTTGTTTGTGAGTTGCTGGACGTTTTCTTTTCAGTGGGCCTATATTATGTGAATGATTGGGAAAAAAGTCATAAACAATCTTCTTTGGGGAGAAAAATGTTTCCTTCTAAACTGTAGCAAAATATAAACAGTGTTATCTCTAGGGGTTAGGATATGGCTACTTGTGATTTGCTAATGTATACTTTTCTGCATTAAAAAAAAAATATATAGTGAGCGGTATTAGTTCTGTAAGAAGAAAACCAACATTTAAAGACCAAGCTGCATTCCATACAAGGCACTTCCTCCTTCAGCAGAGAAGTGGAGCTCCCCGTGCTTGGGCAGAACCCCCTGGTCAGTCCTCCCTGAAGTGCTTCATAACCCACCTTTTCCTCAGGCCTCAGCCACAACTCCAGAAATAAACTCCACAGGGAGATTCTTGGAGGGCATTGGGGAGCACAGAATGCCCCTGGGACTATTTTTCTTGCTCTGGGAATGAGTTTGGGCCATAGTATTGACCCCGTGAGGCACTGTCCGAGGTCACCATGGCCCCTGTGTGGCCAAGAGGCAGGACGTGTCACCTGATGCACCTCTGCTTTCCCTTCAGGTGGGCCTACCATGACTTCTTCAACCGGTATCGGGTGCTGATCAAGAAGAGAGAGCTTGCCAACACAGACAGAAAGGCCATCTGCAAGTCTGTCCTGGAGAGGCTCATCAAGGTGAGCTGGGCAGCCCAGGCCCCAGGAAGGCTCAGCCAGAAGGCCCTGAGAATGGGGGGTGTGCTGTGCTCCACATTTTTTGTTTTATTAAATTTATTTTTTAATTGACATGCATTGGGTGTATATACTTATGGGGTACGGAGTTATATTTCAATGCATGTATACAATGTGTAATGATCAAATCAGGGTAATTAACATATTCATCATTTAAAAAATCTGTCATTTCTTTGTGATGAGAACATTTGAGCACCTCCCTTCCAGCCATTTGAGAACATACAATACATTGTTGTTAATTATAGATGCCTAGCACTGTGTAGACCAGTAGAACTTATTTTTCCAATCTAGCTGCATTTTTGTATCCATTAACCAACCTTTCCCTATCTCCCCACCCCCATGTCCACATTTTAACATCTTATTTTTCATGGGTGAGCAAAATCTGGGTTCAAGGTCAACTGATTTCGGTTGACATGGGAAGACAGGAGGCTTCCCCTTACAGTTACCAGGAGCTGGCCTCTTGCCCCTATCTCCCCACCCCCATGTCCACATTTTAACATCTTATTTTTCATGGGTGAGCAAAATCCGGGTTCAAGGTCAACTGATTTCGGTTGACATGGGAAGACAGGAGGCTTCCCCTTACAGTTACCAGGAGCTGGCCTCTTGGTATATGCAGTCAAGGCCTGCAAGTAGCTCTTTCTACCATGTGGTGGCTTTCTCCTTCATCTGGCATCATAGCTTCACTCTTCCCCCTTTTCCCTGGGTTTCTGCAATGTTACTAGCAGAACCACCACTTCCCTAACAGAGAATACACCAGAGGGGACCCAGGTCAGACTGGCTGAGTCAGCTTCCCCCCACACTATGATCCTGATCAGCTAACAGAACCATTGCCACTGCCTGGAGCCTGCCTCCCTATAACCTTGAGCCTCTGCACCCTGCCTGGCACAGCCACCTCTCTCTCCACTGATGAGGAACCTGACTGCTTCTCAGTGCCCAGCTTCAGTGCCGACTCTGCCCAATGATTTCCCTGGTCCAGCACTTGCCTGTAGCACTTTGTGTCACTCTTAGAGCCCATAGCATGCTGTCCCATGTTTCAGGTATGTGCATCCTTTCTTACAGAGGACAGTGTCTGCATTGTGTCTTTGCATTATGAGCACCGAGTTTAACACACACAGAGAACCTACCAGACATTTGTGGAATGAATGAACAAGTGACTTGCCTAAAGAAAAATCATAGGAATACATGCTGTTTTCTCTGCCTGAAGTGCTTTTTCCCTCTTTCACCTGCTTGACCTAGTTCTACTTTCATTTCAAACTTAGCTCTAAAATACTTTTTGGTCTGTGAAACCTATTCCCAGCCTCTCGGATGGAGTTAGCTACTCCATCTTTTATGGACCAACAGTGCTCAACTCCTCTCTTGCCTCGTTGTGTTTATTCCCTTGTGTTGTAATTGAGGGTTGGTTTGTCTTCTCACCAGACTGCAAACATGGCAAGGCTCCTACTGTGGCTGTGTTCCTAGCACAGTTCCTGCTTGTCACAGGAACTGTATGAGTTTGTGCAGGTGAACCATTACTGGCTAGATGAGAAACCTGACAGTAATGGCTCACCTTATGAGGAAGATAGAAGCATCATCCCCATTTTACAGATGAGGAAACTGAGGCACAAAAAACTGGTGTAAATGGACCAAGGTTGCACAGGTGGACTGATTCACAACCCTCCTCAGTCTAAACCACAGTGCCCGCTGTCCCAGTATGATATAGAAATGTCATTGTGCACAGTTATCCTTCCTGGAGACTGAATAGGGACCAGTGTTTCAAGACTTCCTTGGAGACCTTGTATTTTGCCCTTTTTATTTTTCTCATTTTCTTGGGCCACATCTTCTGGACCCCCAGCTCCTGATGCTCATGCTATGTGACCTGGGTCTTTGTGTCAAGAAATTGAGACTTGGCATAGCCACGTGTTAGCCTAGAAGGGCACATGCCAGCTCCCAGCCTTCTCCCAAGCAAGTGCTAAGTGCATTTTGGAATAGAACGATGGGGAGAGAAGAGAGAAGCAGGGATAATGGTGGTCTGCAGGCCAGGTAGCAGGTGCTCAGTGGCTACCTTCACTGAGGGGCAGGTTGGAGCTGGGGGCCACCTCCTTAGGTTGTTAGTCGGGATTTAATACACCATCGTGGTTGGTTTGGAGAGAAATGTGGGCTGGGGTAGTGCTTTCCCTACAAGGATTTTAGGAATGCCCCCTCATCCTGAACCTGAATATGTTTGTTCTTTAACTCCACATGTACATATCAAGTTGGTTCTATATGTTCTAATCCAGAATGGTCAGTGTGAGGGTTATTAAAAAAAAAAAAAAAAAAAGCATACGGGCCCCTGCCCTCCAGGATTAATACTATAGTTGATTATCACCTCATGGACACTGGCCATCACACAGACCCGAGCCTTTCTTGTGATGGTAAAGGAGCGTGTCAACAGCATCTGTTGGGAATCCCTGGAGCATGAGGAACCATGTATGTGAAGTATGAAGAGGAGACAATGCTATGAAAAGGGGCAGGTGTAGTGAGAGCCCTCTAGCCTGGGAGTCCCAGATCTTGGCTTCTGTTTGTTGACATTTTCAGTGTGACCTTGAGCAAGTCACTTCACCATCCTAGACTTCAGTTTTATCATCCAAAATAAAAGGAGTGGCCTGAATGGATTGCTAAGATGGCTTTCAGCTCCCTCCAGCTATGATTTTTGGAGAAAGGTCCTCAAAAAATTATCAAAAGATGACTGGTTGACTGATATGCAAATAGTGCAGTCTGTAAGGTTCCAGGAGTTGTTAGTAGAGGAAGCAGATTTGGGTTAGGAGGTGTTAAGGAGAGTGTGGAGATCAAGCTGGACAGGCAGGACCTTCAGAGAGATCCTTACTAGTGAAAATAATGGCTTTGCAGACCAGATTGCCTCTTTCTGGTTTTTTTTTTTTCCCAGAATAGGGCATGAAGTGTGTGTACCCTGGTTCCTGGGGCGGGGTAGGCACCCCCCCCATGCCAAGCACCCAGGCTGGGCCCCTGACTGTGAGGGCTGAGTCCTTCCCCTTTTGCTTCCTGACCCCTCCTTGCTGAGCAGGAGCTTCCCCAGCTGGACAGAGATCAGAGCAGGGCCTTGGCCGCCTTCCTCAAAGCTTCCTAGCCCAATCTAGCCCCTGTTCCTCTGAGCATGAGCTGAGGGTCCATTGGGCGTGTGGTCCTGAGCAGACACAGGCATGAGAAACAGATCCAGAGCCCACCCAGGTTCACTGGTAGCCTGGCCAGTGGAGGATACCCAGTGACACTCAAGCTGGAAGCTGTGCCCCAGCTTAGACAGCACAGCCTCCCCTGTGTGTGGAACCTGTTTCCTGTGAACTGTGTAGGGCTTAACCCGTGAAGAGTGATGACTCAGCATTATCAGCGTGGAACATATTCGTGTGTGTGTGTGTTTTCATTAGGCCTTGGCTCATTCCTTTCTTTCTTATTATGGTCCTCATGCTAGGAGCAAAACTAGATGGCAGTTTATTTACAGAGAGCCCTCAGTTATTAGAGAGTTATATATCAGGTGTCCTCTCCCAGGCTTGTCCACAAGTGCCCTCCTGGGTCATCTTTCCTTATCCACTGGGGTGAACACATAACCTGATAAATGTGATTAAGACAGGAATTACAGGTACCAAACAATCTCTAAAATAGTTTTATGTGGGGATTCTTTGCAGTCTGTAGTTATGCATACAGCTGTGTGGCCACTTGCAGATCATCTTTTTGAAATGTCCACGAGATCAGCTCATTCCCTTGTTCAAAGCCCACCAGTGACTCCCATCCCAGTTTGTACTGCAGCCTACAAGGCCTTTGGTGATTGGTTCCTCCTGCAACCCGCCTTCGGTTCCCCACTTTCAGCTATCCAGGGTGTTGGCATCACTTTCCTCTTCTGCACTCTCCCGGGGCTGCCTCCTTCAGTCCACTCAGGTCTTTGCTCTGTATCAGCCCCACAGAGACGCCTTCCTTGATTATCTTTTTTAAACCTTCCCATTCACCTCCCAGTTCTGTTTTCTTCATAATCCTCGCTGCTGTCTGAAAACATCCAGTGTCTCTGCATGTCAGTCTGTCCTCACTATGATGCCAGTTCCTTGAGGGCTGGTGTCTTGTTCACTGCTGCATCCTGGAAAGCTTGCCTGGTGCCTGTCCCCTAGCAGGGACTCTGTGTCTGTGAAATGAATGCTGAGTGTTCCTGTGTATCTGCAGAGGAGTGGCACATGAAATCTGACAAGGGGGTTCTGCATTGGAAGAACTGGGGCGGGCTGGGGCATGTTACCTCGCTGCTCACTGGTGACCAACCAGCTCCCCTCCCTGCCTTGTAAAGGATCCCGACAAGTTCCAGTTTGGCCGTACCAAGATCTTCTTCCGGGCAGGCCAGGTGGCCTACCTGGAGAAGCTGAGGGCTGACAAGTTCCGAGAAGCCACCATCATGATCCAGAAGACTGTCCGGGGCTGGCTGCAGAAGGTGAAATACCGCAGGTTGAAGCAGGCTACCTTGACCTTGCAGAGGTACTGCCGAGGGTACCTGGCCCGCAGGTGAGCAAAGCTGGGGCAGCAGATTTGGGATGGGGGCACTGCCTCCCTCAGCTCATTGTCCCCTCTCATCCTCTGTAATTAGGGTGGCTCCTTTGGTCCTTGTCTGTGTCTTGGTTTTCTCCCAGCAGCTGGGCCCATCCTTCTAATGCTCGTCCCGCCTCAGGGAGTGAGTCCAGTTCCCAGGTCTCCTAGTTCCCCCAGACTGCCTCCTCCCACCAGCACTGACCTAGAACCAGCTGGTTTTGCCACAAATCAACCATTTTCCCTTTGTTTAAACCCCAAAGTTTAAAACTTCAGAAAAGAGACAAATTCACTTTTCTGTCACAGTTAACTTAGCCTCATTATTTACACCACAAATTTCAGAGTCCCTTGGAGCTCAGTAGTAGGGCTGGAAAGGTCCTGGGAAGCCCCTTTTCTGAGCTTATCGCATTGAACCAGTGCAGAGAGAGTGTGACTTGTCTGACCACAGCAGCTACCTAGGGCCAAGCCAGGACACCACCTGGCTCCTCTGCCCAGCCCGGCGCCGTGCGGAAGGAACCACTTGCAGTGCTCCCTTCCTGGCTGATATCACTGAAGCGTCAGAAGCCATCCCCACGGACACAGGCATGGAGGACACAGCCTCCAATGAGATCATCCGTAGGCCTTTACACAGGCCATGAGATTTCAGACACAGCCCTAGTTCGAGAACAGTGCTCTTTCCAAATAAGAATTTCCTTGGAGAAGTGATAGTTATTGCCATGAAGTCTTGCATTTGGAAGCCACAGTTTCACAAGTGGCTGCTCAGTCATTTCTGCTTGAAAATAAAAAAGAGAGTGCTCCTGAGTTCCCAACCCAGAGCAGGCCCCCTTTGTTTCCTAAAGTTTGGAGATGGCTTCTGCTTGTTTCCTCTTGCTCATCATGTGTTGTTTATCCAAGCACAGAGGTGACAAAGCCTGTTCACTACCTTTGAACTGTTGAAAGATGAGCTCTGGAGCAAGAGTTGTAGAAATGAGGAGACTGTCAGCATCAACACCAAGTAATTTTCAATAATCTGTGCCAACTAGTCAAATCATCGAGTGCATATGTGCCTGTTCACTACCTTTGAACTGTTGAAAGATGAGCTCTGGAGCAAGAGTTGTAGAAATGAGGAGACTGTCAGCATCAACACCAAGTAATTTTCAATAATCTGTGCCAACTAGTCAAATCATCGAGTGCATATGTGCACGGGACTCTGTCTTAGGCACCCTGATGGTGAGGGTATCAAACAGTTGGCCTGCATTCTTCCTGCAGGGAGTTTGTGTTCCAGCAGATGTGCAGGGCCCACCTATGAAGAACGTACTTATGGAGCTACCGTAGGGAGTCGGGTGCATTTCAGCAAGCAGGCAGTGTACTGGCTGGTTGGGCCACCTCCTTCTCTGGGGCTGCACTGGATGATTTCTAAGGTCTTTTCTAGCATTTAACATTCAAGTGTCTAACTGAGCACTTGCTATGAGCTTGGCACCAAACAAGACCCTTAAGAAGGGTGGAAAGTGTCCAACTGGCTTTCTGTCTCACTTGGGAGACAAGGTGGAGAATGCAGAAAGGAAAGAGGAGAGGAGATGTCCACATTCAGTTCATCCAGGCAGAAGGGGCTGGGGAGGTGGGAAAACAGGGAGGGATCACTTTGGGCCTGAGGTTTCAGTCACTCAGCAAATATTACCCAGCACCTGCTGTGTTAAACCCTGGACTAGGTGTGCAAGGCGTAGTGTGATGGAGACACAGCCCCTGGGGTCTCCACACCTGGCGAGGGACAAACAGCAGTGTAAACACGTGCTGAGCAGTGCTGCTAATGAAGTCACTGAGGACTGCCCAGGCTCTTTGGGGTTGGGTGTGCTTGGGTAAGGGTCAAGGAGGAAACTGGCTCTGCTTTTCTGAGCCTGAGCACCAAGTGCCAGAGGCATTGCTATATTTGGGAAGGGTGATGAGAGTTGCCTTGGCCTGGGGGTGTCCAGGTGGGGCTGCAGGGGGAGGGGACAGCTTAGGCCTCTGTGTCAGTGTGGCTCAAGCACACTCCCTGACCCACCTGCTGTCTCCTAGGCTGGCTGAGCATCTGCGGAGGACCAGGGCAGCTGTGGTGCTCCAGAAACAGTATCGCATGCGGAGAGCCTGCCTGGCCTACCAGAGGGTCCGCAGGGCTGCCGTCGTCATCCAGGCTTTTGCTCGGGGGATGTTTGTGCGGAGAATCTACCGCCAGGTGAGTAGTCCCCCCGTTCCCCCCCACGAGGGCTCACAGGCTAAGAATCCAGAACTAAAGTGGCAGCAGATAAAGTGTCACCAACAGAATGTTTGTTGGATACCCCAACTTTTTTCTAAGTACTTTCATATCTCTGCTCTCACCAAGTCCTTTCTAAAGTTCCAGGAGGTAGGAAAGGTGTACACAGTATACCCCCTTGTTGCCTGAGTTACTCAGAGAAGCTGAGTTACCTGCTGAGGGTGTGTGTCAGCTAGCAGCAGGGCCTGGTGACCTGTCTTGGGCTTGTTCAGACTTGAGAGCAGGAGGTGTTATTAGGCATCATCAGGTGTATCCTTTCATTTAACAGATGAGCAGCCTGAAGCCTGGCGAGGTCAGGAGAAGGGACCCTGACCTCCTCCCTGCCAGGCTGCTACTCTTTGCGTTATTCCAGTGGAGCTGAAATCCTTGTGTGTTAGTCTCTTTCTGGTCTTATAAGAGAATACCTGAAATTGAGTAATTTGTAAAGAAAAGAAATTTGTTTCTTACAGTTTTGGAAACTGGGAAATCCAAAGTCCAGGGAACACATCTGGTGAGGGCCTTCTGGGTGGGAACTCTCTACAGGGTCCTGTGGCGACCTGGGTATCACATGGTGAGATGGGCCAAGCAAGAGTGAGCAAACTTCTCATTCGCTCACTCTCCTTCTAAAGGCATCAGAGCCATGCCTGTTACTTCATGAATGGATCAATCCATTCACGAAGGCACACTCCTTACAATCTAATCATCTATTAAGGGTTCCACCTTTCAAATGCCATAATAGGATTTCCCAACCTCTTAACACTGTTACAATAGAGATCAAGTTTCCAATATATGAACTTTTGGGGAACACATTTGACCCATAGCACCTTGGTTAGGTAGCCCTAAGTCAAGACATGTTCATTCAACCAAGTAACACCAATGCAACTGAAGCACAAGCTAACTCGGAGGATGAATTGTCTTGGTTTTCTAAATGAGTATCTGTCTTTTCTGTGATCAGAGAAGGTATGATTTTTGAAACAATAAATGTAAGGAACTAAATTAATAATGAAGAAACTAATGTGGTCAGGCATCAAGGTAGAGGTCACCCTGATGAAATATGTGGAGAAGCTCAGGCCAGTAGGAGACGGTTCTGTGAATGTTCTCGAGAGATGGGTGATATCTGTGTAATGTCACCACAGGAGGGCAGGTGGCCCTTGGTAGGCAACCAGCAGCGAGGGAACCAGTAACTCCCGGCTCTGCTTCCCATAGCTGTGACACTGTTACCTTCTCAGCATGTTTGCTTATTTACTCATTTATTACACAGACGTTTAGAACAGTAATGATGGTTTCATTTCCTGAGTAGTTCTTAACTTGGTAGAAAACAAAACCCCGGTGATTTGCAAGCTGAGTTTGGAACTATAAGCCATTAGCCCTCTGTGGACTTTCACTGAAGTGTCTCACTTCATCACCCAGTTCACCGTCACCAGGATGGGATCCACATCCGCTAAATGGGGAGAAATCAGAGACTCATTGGGCCTGTACAACCTGGAGGCTTTTAGGCCATGGTTCCCTAACCAATAAAACAAAAACAAAGCTAAAAGCAAGAGTTTGACAGCTGATTCCCTGTAGGTACACATCTGCAGACCTAGCTAAAACGTGTTCATAAGACAGCCACCAAAGCCTCAACTCTTGGGGGTATGGTCTATCTCTGTCTCCTAAAACCATAGCCGACCTTGGCTCTCGCCTCCTACAGGCAGTTGCGTGAGTGTCCCTTGCTGCCATCCCACAGTGCCAACCCATGGGGGATGTGCTTGTCCCACCAGGTCCTCATGGAGCACAAGGCCACCTTCATCCAGAAGCATGTACGAGGTTGGCTGGCGCACAGGCGTTTCCGGCAGATGCAGGCTGCAGCCATCGTCATCCAGTGTGCCTTCCGGAGGCTCAAGGCCAGGCAGGAGCTGAAGGCCCTCAAGATCGAGGCCCGCTCGGCAGAGCACCTGAAGCGCCTCAACGTGGGCATGGAGAACAAGGTGGTGCAGCTGCAGCGGAAGATTGATGACCAGGTCAGCATCAGGAGCTCCCCACCCAGGTGCTAGTGGTTGGTGGGGTGTCAGGGCATGTTTGAGGAGAGACCTCTGGCTTCCTCAGGGAGCTGTGCATGCCAGAGACCTCAGGAAGCAGGAATGTCTGCAGGCGTTGCACCACTCAGCAATAACAGTTACTTACTGGGGCAGCTAGAATAACGGCCCCGCAAAGGTGTCCACATCCCAGTCCCTGGGATCTGTATGTCACCTCATGTGGCAAAAGGGACTCTGCAGATGTGGTTAAATTAAGGATCTAGCAACAGAAGTTTATCTCACTGCAATTATAAGGGTCCTCCTGAAAAGGAGACCAGAGGATCAGATTCAGAGAAGGAGGTGTGATGGCAGGATCAGAGGTGGGAGCGATGCAGGTCTAGGAGCCAAGGAACACAGCAGCCTCTAGAAGCTAGAAAAGAGAAAAAAAGGGGGTCGGGGGGCTGGCCAGTTAGCTCACTGGGTTAGAGCATGGTGCTTGTAACACCAAGGTCAAGGATTTGGATCCCTTTACTGGCCAGACACAGTAGATTCTCCCTGAGAGTGTCCAGGAGGAACACAGCCCTGCCAACCCCTTTGAGGCTTCTGACCTCCAGAACTGTAAGATAATAGATTTCTGTGGTTTTGAGCCACTGACTTGGTGGTAATTTGTTACAGCAACAACAGGAAACTGATGGACTTGCCCAGAGTCCCATCCTCCTGCCCTTGCAGGGGCAGCATGTATAACAACAGCTAGTGCTTACGGAGTGCTCACTGTGTGTGGGGTGTTCTGCTAGCTCTTTTTCTGTATTACTTTACTTTGTCTGATCCCCACAATGGCCCCCTAGGATAAATATTATCCTCCTTGGTCTTTTTTTTTTTTTGATTTTTAAAGGTGGGGAAACTGAGAGGGCAAGTGACTTCCTAAAGTCACAAGGGTGACAGTGACAGGGCTGAGATTTAAGCCCCAGTGTCTGGCTCGAGCTGGTGCCCTTCAGTCTCTGCTCATGCTCTTGCTCCCGCCTCTCTGCCACGTTGTATGGTGGAAAGAGCGCTTGCTTTGGGCTCAGGAGGAGTTCCATTCACACTTACGTTGCTTAAGAGTGAGTGACTGACAGGACCACTCTTATCCACAAAGTGGGGCTGATAGGGCTGTAAGAAGAGGGGATGGCCTTACATATACTATGAAGGGCCTGGGTTGAAGTAGGAAACTCAGGAAATGGTTACCACTGTTCTGTTTGAGCTTTTTCCTCTGTTTTTCTACCTGGCTCCCTTCCCATGTCAGCCAATCAAACAGGTAACAAATCATTGATTAAGTCCCTGCAGGGGGTGGGGTACCGTGCAAGGTACTGGGACAGATCCAAGACAAGCAGGGGGCACTTGGCCCCTTCCAGAGGGTTGAAAGGACCAGGACTCGCACATGTGCTTGCACACACCCCAATACCCACTTGTTGGTGCCCAAGTGGCCAGTCCTCCTTCCCTTCAGAAGACCTTTATTGGTGCCTGATTGTTTCAGTTACTTGGTTAGGCTCAATGGACAGAGAGGGCTTTGACATCCATCAGATGCTGTATTATAAGGGAGAAATCTTATGCCAGGGGGGTCAACAGCATCGATTCCCCTAATGATTTTCTGAGCACCCACCATAGGCCAGGCCCTATGATATGTGCTTTATGTTCACTCTCATTTAATCCTCCACGACTTTGTGAGGTCATTTCATAAATGAGGAAATTATGGATCAGGGACATTAGTACCTTGCCAAGGTCACAGAATTAGAGTGCTAGAACCAGGATTCTGCCCCAGGTCTGTCTGATCCCACAGCCATAATGAGGGTGCTGCTAGGTTACTTGCCAAGGTCACAGAATTAGAGTGCTAGAACCAGGATTCTGCCCCAGGTCTGTCTGATCCTACAGCCATAATGAGGGTGCTGCTAGGTTATTTTTTTTTAAGCCCTAAACGTTACTACAGTGTCTATCCTGTTGCTGAGTTGGGCTTCCAGAGTTGAAAGTAACTTCACCATTTTTTCTCAGGCAGAGTGTTGGGGTGACTACAGGACTAGGCTGCTGCAGTGCCCCACGGGTTTCAGGTGCCTCCTGGGAAAGGACGCAAGAGTGTGTATGGTGTGGGGTTGTAGAGAGAGAACATTAGAGTTGGGGCCACAAGGTATGGCCTTGGAGATGTCACTGGCTTTATTGTACCTATTCTGTCCTGGGTGTTTTTTAAGCTTCTTACAACCCCAACAGGGCAGGGAAATAAATGGCCATTTTACATCTAAAGCAGCTGCCCCAGTAGGAGCCCCAAAGCAGTGCACAGATAGCAGTGGAATGTCCCTGCTTCCCTGTTCTGTCAAAAGACCAGGCTTTTCGAGACCATCACCCTGGATCTTTGTTCTCTGTGTGAGTCTTACAGGGTGCCTTGTTCAGCTTGGCTCCCTGGTGGGGAAGCGAGACAGAAAGCCCAGGTGCGGGGAGGAGGGTACTCGGTACCTGTCGCTGGTTGGCCTGCAGTGATATGCCTGCTCTGAGGGGCAGGGATATGGAATAAAAGGTCCTTGGCACTGGCCATTTGAAAAACACAAGTACAAAGAGTATTATCATTGTGGCTATTGATAACTGGCCAGAAAAGACATTGCATAGTTAATTTTTGCCACTTAACCTTCCAGACAAGGTGCAGTCAGAGGGAAAAATAGTCTTTGACCACTGTACCCTGCCCTGTGTACCCTCTGGCCACCCTGGCCCTTGGTTTCCAGCCACAGAGATAACTGGCCAGAAAAGACATTGCATAGTTAATTTTTGCCACTTAACCTTCCAGACAAGGTTCAGTCAGAGGGAAAAATAGTCTTTGACCACTGTACCCTGCCCTGTGTACCCTCTGGCCACCCTGGCCCTTGGTTTCCAGCCACAGGGCTCTGCATTGGTGCTGCTGATTTCTAAAGTTGACTTGAGAGGATAAAAATAAATCCAGTATTTTACAACCCACGTGCTTAAACATCAAAGAGAAGCAGATTTAAAAGGCCTATTTTTAAAAGGAGCTTTTTGCCTTAAGCTTCCTGCTTGACAAACATCTGTGAGTGGTGGCAGGTGTTGGCCACCCTGGGCAGGGCACCCTGCATTTAGAGGGCCAGAAGCAGCAGGAGGGGTGGACAACATCTTGCTTTCTCACACCCCATATAATAATTCTCATATTAACTCATTTAATCCTCATCACAATGCTGTGAAATAAAAATATTATTCCCATTTTAAAGATGAGGAAACTGAGGCATAGAGAGGTTAAGTAGCCTGCCCACGGTCATATAGCTAATATGTAGCACAGCTGGGATTGAAACTTGGCAGGCTGTTTTCAGGGTATGTTCTGTCACCTCTGTCAGATTGTAGGATTTCTGCCCTTTGGGAGATTCTCAGGACATGGTGAGAACTCCTCAGTCAAAGTGAGAACACTACCCTTGGTTTGGGTTCATGCTCATACAGATAGCATTGTCCTTGGGACTGGCTGGCATTTTCGGGGTTGGGGGTGTGACCTGGTGTCAAAGAACATGGCTGACACTCTGTTGTGAGAGGAAGCACCAGTGTACTCTTCCTCACCAGATCTTCAGAGGTGTTTGTTTTCCATAGTCTCTTAGCAGAGAGGGCCACCTGTTTGGAAGTAAATGGGTTTCCTTTTATCCTGTAATTCCTGGAGACAATTCAGACAGCTGTTCTCTTGACACACAAGGTTCTTAAGCCAGAAGGAGAGGACACGCATGTGCCAGGGACACTACAAGCAATGGTGTCCTGAGCTATTTGTCAGTGGTGTGGGGTAATGGACAAAGTCCCAGCTGATCAGAGGCCTGGGTTCTATCTCGATTATACTCACAACCAGAGCTGATAGCATGGAAACAATTGGGCCTTGAGTTCTTCAGAGGGGATTGGCTTGAGATCTCTAAGGTAACTTTAGCTTAGAAATTCACTGGTACTGTGATCTGGCTAAAGTGGGTTCCTGTCCCCAGGCTGTACTGTAGAATCACCTAGGGGAGCTTCGTTAAAAAGTACATCCACTGCCAAGAAGTCAGCAAGGAAAGAAACCAAAAGATAAAACCAGGGTAAGATTAACACCCAAAACTCATAACCTGAGGCTTCCTACACCCAGCTGGAGAGAGAAAACACAAATGTGGCACCGAGCTCCCAAGCAAACAACAGAAAGAAGGAAACAAGGTTACTTGAATTCTTGAAAGAGAAAGAAAATAGTCTGGGAGGGTTGGAGCTGTCCCTGGTGCTGAGATGTTTTTCCTGTGGGTTTTTATAGTCTATAACATAATAAGCCACATCCTTCACAATATCTTGCAGCAGTAAATGGGGCCATTTCTTACAATGTCCCTGGTGTATCCTGTGATGTGACATTATTCAGCCAAAATGATGTAGCCCATGAGCTCAGCTCTCTGCCAGTCTGGCTTTATTCAAGCACACTTGTAGAGGAACTTGGCCAGTTGAACTTAGTTTTTTTTATAATAGGAGTCAAGTTTCTTAGACGCTTGTGAGTATAAGGTTATACTTAAATATTTTTTTTCTGGAAAAAAAAGACAAATCTATGATTCAATCAATAGGCTTTTAAATCAGTTTGACTCAGTACATTCAATAAGCCCTCAGTAAATATGTTAAATTAGCTATTACTGTATAATTCATGGGAGCACCCATGTACATTTGAAAAATAGTATATAACAAATTACAACTTTATGGCCTTTCTGTGCCTCAGTTTTCTCCACTGTGAAATGGGGCTATTAATCATCTTTACTGAATAGGATTTTTATGAGGAGTCAATGAGTTGTTATATGTGAAGCACATAGTACAGTGCCTAGCCTATAGGAAGCACCCGGTGGTGGTAGTAGGATGTTGGGACATGTTGATTTTCACTAATCAGACTGTCTTGCAATAATTTGCTTGCCCTCTTGCTAACCTCAGGGTCTTTAAAGCATTGATTAGGAACAACTCTGTGCACAGTTCTGTGTACAGTTCTGCAGGTTGCACACTGAACAAGGGTATAGTAAAGTCCAGCCCCTACTCTGTGGCCTGACCCTGAGCCTGCCCTGGGACAGTGCTGTCTTGAGGAAGGGGCATCCTTTGTTCCAAGCTGTGCACCCCTAGGGCTGTGTCTACCCACACGGGCAACTCTGTGGAGTTCATCTCCCTGGAGGGTGGTGCATTTTTCTGGTTATCCAGAGTTGCTTGAGGCCAGCAGAGGCCCTGGAATCACTGATTGGAGGAACAGATGGAGAAACATTCTGAGAATAAAAAGGATCTTGGCTAACCAAACCTTTGAGAGGGAAAAAATGAGCTGATGGAGAAACATTCTGAGAATAAAAAGGATCTTGGCTAACCAAACCTTTGAGAGGGAAAAAATGAGCTTTTATTTATTTATTTATTTATTTATTTATTTATTTATTTATTTAGTCAGTCAGTCAGTCAGTCAGTCCACCTCCCCACTCCTGGTGATCTGACCCAGGCTGTACCACCTGGAGGTGACACCTGAGCCAAACGTAACTTCAGCTCAGAGACAAAGTCAAAGGGTGCCTAGCTTAGCATGCATTTTCTCCCTGTGGACACCCAGCCCTCAATGGGCTGTACAGGCATGTATTGGGTTTTTTAAATGAATGCTGCTTAATTGGATTTGTGATTCCTTAGAGCAAGGCTAGCAGCCAGACCAGACATACAGATGCATCAAGTTGTAGCTGGGAGGTTCCCATGGAATGTAGGGTCTCTTTCTGCTGTATCAATGCAGGAAATGTTCTGCTTGTGCACATGCGGTCACAGCCATGAGGCCCCAGGGTGTGCATGGCATTGTACAGGGTCTGACAGCTTTTCTTTTGCTGCCCCTCGCTGCTTTATGTCAAGTCTAGTTTCTGATGGGAATTGATAATTGATTCCTGATGCCTGTGTTTATTGGTATTTTAGTCAATAGCTCTGTTCTACTCGGAACACCTGCAGAGCACAGCACTGAAGAATAATCAATGACTATTTGTTCCTTGCTTGATTATTTGGAAAACCCTGCTTCTTCCTCTCTGCTTTTCTCCACTGACCACTTTTAGCTGATACTCTCAACTCTTATGGTGCCAATTTCTGCATGTACTTTACACAAGCACTTGACCCCAGCACTGGGTTCTCAGAGCTCTGGGCACATGAGGGTTGCTTCACATACTGCTTGGGTAGGTTGCTGATTGGGCACCAGTCTGCAGGGACGTGGTGGGGATGGGTGCTGCCAGGGCATCAGTTTCCAGAGTCAGAGTCTTGGGGGGAACTGTGGCTGACAGGTGGCGAGAGTGATCCTGAGGCCCCATGGAGGGCCTCCTTGGAAGAGGGGTGGCTGAAGGAGTCCTTTGTCTCAGAGCCAGTGATTAGGTTGTAGCTCTTTGTGCCAGTGAGTCCAATGGCAGGAGGGCTCCATGTGAAAGAGCAGGGAAACCTAAAAAGCAAAGGCCACAGAGCCAGGGAGCTGGTGACATTGTTCCCGCAACTTACTAACTCAGGGTAGGATCTGTCCAACCAACGTAGGAAGCTAACTGCTCTTAGCCAGCTTCCAGCTCTGCTAATGCTCATAAAAGCTCCTGGAACTATTTTCATGTCAGTGTTGGTGTTTTCTGGTTTCCTCTGCTTCTCCTGGGTTCACAATAGAGTTTTGTTAAGGGAGATGCCAGGAAAGCACTGGAGCATGTAATGGTTGTGAGATTTAACTCCACCACGCAAGTTCCTTTTTTGATTGCTTTCATGCTTTTTCCTGGCCAAATAACCCTCTCTTTCTGTTGTCTTTCTCCTCCCCTCTCCCCATGTGCCCATGTCCTCCACAGAACAAAGAGTTCAAGACCCTGTCCGAGCACTTGTCCACTGTCACCTCCACACATGCCATGGAGGTGGAGAAGCTGAGGAAGGAGCTGGCGCATTACCAGCAGAGCCACGGTGGGGATGCCAACCTACAGCTGCAGGAGGAGGTAGAGAGGCTGCGCAGCGAGCTGCAGAGGGCCCACTCGGAGCACAGGGTCCTGGAGGACGCCCACAGCAGGGAGAAGGACAAGCTGAGACAGGTACACATGAGGCCGGGGCAGGTGTGGTGCTGGGCCTGCAGACAGAGCACCCCCAGGGACTGGTCTTCTCCAGGTCACAGAAGTGCCATGGGCTTTGCTGGGGCTCATGCCCACAAACTAACCTTCTGTGTGTAGAAATAATGTGGCCATGCTATGGAGAACCCACACAAGCATGTGTCCATTCATCTAAGAAGTATTAACAGAGTTTCTGCTGTTAGCTGGACAGCAGGGCATCCCCCAAAAGGGACATGCAGTTTCCACCTCAGAGCATCTTCCTCACAGTCCAGAGTCAGTCATTGAGGCAGCTCTGTGGCCTGAGTCCTCATTGGCAAGAGAGGTGTTAGCAAGGTCGTGGCTGCTTTTCTCGACATTGGCTGCAGGGATTAGCGGCAGCCCCTAGACCTCCCTACCCATAATAAAGCGTCATGCTTTGGGGAATTTACCTCAAGTTTAAGTGTGGGTGGCTTCAGCCTGCCTCCCCTGCTCTGGCTGGTGAGCTGCTCAGGTTTCCTCCCTACCCCATGAAACAGAGCTTCTTAGGTGTGCTCCACAGGCTTGTTCCATTCCCCTAAACATCAGGACGCAAAGATTCCCTGCTCCACTTTGAGATAGCTGTTCCAACCAGGAAGGTCCCACCATGCCCCAGGAGAGCCTACTGGGGACACTGCTCTCCCCCATTTGTATAGTAACTCACGGGCCAAAGGGAAGATAGCAGCCACCCATTTGTTTTGTATCTGTCCATCACGGGGGTTTCGCAGTGGGTTGGAAATGTAGGAGAGAGAGATTCAGTGTTCGTAATATTGGAATAACAACTTCAAAATTGTGGCAGACCGAATGGTGCCACAGAAGGGTCCCTGGGGTGGACATTGGAATACCCAGACAGACCCTCATCCCTGCTCTGCCATTACCATGCATGTGCGGGAAACCATGCTGGCCTTATTTAGTTCCCTCATCTGTATGTTTTAAAAAATAAAAAAAAAGAGTTTGTCTGGATCATCTCTAAGTGTCCTTCTGGACTTGCACCTGGCCACCTCCCTGAGATTGTGTTTGATGGCTCCTAGAAGGAATAGGCCTCTGTCCCTCTCTCTTCCACTGCCCACTGCCTCCGCTGGCCTCAACCCTCAAGTGCAGCTGAGAAGCCCACAGATCCCCCCTGGAGGTAAGGCCTGCAGAGCCAGCTCGTGCTGGGCTTGCATGCATTGTGTTCTCACCCCAGGCAGAACCGCCGCACCATCAGCCACTGCCTTCCCCAGATCCCAGGGACTTCCAGAGACTTCCAGGCTCAGATGTGGGATGCAGATAGGGTTAGAAGAAAGTAGGACACAGGACTTCTCAATGCAGCCAGGCCGGCATATATAAGACCACTCTCCTTGGGTGTTTCTTTGAGGTAGCACAAGACACTCTGCCCAGATGAGCCCGTGGCCAGCTTGCCCACCATGAAGCCTACAGTGGACTGCATTCTTTGGGATAAAGCTTTGTGGTGCTGGGAGCGCCTGTCAGAATGTAGCCACAGTTAAGTAACCTACACACCGTGAAATTCCACACTCGTGGTCTGTTGACCTTTGGGAGCAGATGGATGGGTGGTGACCCTTCTGTGTGAGTGAAAAACAAGAAAGTGGAATCCAAAAGCAGAAAGAGGTTAAGATCAGGACTGGAAATTCTTGAAATTGGTGACCCTGGGAGAGAAGAGAAGACAGTTACCTGCTTGTGCGTCCCAATCAGGTTAGATACCTGCAAAGTCTGTTCACCCAGCAGATCTACAAGACCAGGATCTGTCCTGTCCCCACCCCACAGATAGCACATGACTCGTCACCTCCCCAGCCTCCCTTCCTGCTTCCCACTAAACGTTGTGATTTGGGGACTCAGAGCATTTTAAAAATATCCAAGTCCTCCATGAAAGGGAGCATAAGAGTTTATAAGATGAAAATCTTCCTTTGCACAACAAAATAGAGGAGCAGGTTTTGAGGCTGTTTCCTAGGTCTTAAATAAAATTAGAGCTTGGGACTGACAAGAAAAAAAAAAAAAATCAAGGACACTGCAGGAAGGGGAACAAAGGGAGCAGAAGCAGAGCACAGACTCATTCCCTGACTCCAAACATGACACACTCTAAGTTGGTAACACTTGAAAAGAAAGCGGCATAGATAATTGATTAATGGAATGTCCACCTCTTTCCAGGAAAAGGAAAGGGAAGCAAGCATGCTTCCTTCTCTAGGGTCTTTAAAACCTTTTTAGTCTTTTTCTTTGTCTTCTCTGCCTAGTCAGGATTTAATATTTATCAGAGGCTCTGTGTCCAATCTTAATAAATGCTGAATAATCAGACAATTGGCTTCCTCATGGGCTTGTCCATGGCCCATTCCGTTTTGAGCGAGATTGATGAGAGAAGCCAAGCATGGTGAGGGAGCCAACCGCTGGTGGGTGTTTAATTAATGGGGCTGATATTTCTGCTGGTGAAGATTGTATCAGAACTGGCATCCTGGGAAACTCTGCTCCCTAACCCTGACCATAGTAATTGGCAGGTGCTGTGACCACCCTGCCTTGGCCTGTGGGAGGCCAGGTCCCTGGGAGCAGGAATTTATCTGTGTCTGCAGAGCCCAGGGCAGCCCCTGTCATACCCGAGACACATAAATTAGATGGCGTCCTCAACTACTGAAGAATGTCCATTGTTTTGGCTTCTCCACAGAGTGGTCCACCTGTAGGCCCTTAACCTCCTTCCCTCTTAGCCTGAGGAATGTGTATGTTTTTCTTCTTCAAGGCTTCAGTGATCCGCAGCCATGCTGGTGCTTTCGCGCAGCCATGCTGTTTTATATGGCTGCACTGTTCAGCGCCCCTGGTGAGAGAGAAGAGGCCCCCAGGGCTGCCCTTGGCACAGAGGCTCATGATCCAAAATCTGCTCCAGAGGTTGCTTGGTGGGGACAAGCTCGGGGCAGGGTTGCACTGGTTGAGGAAGAGCAGCCCCATCAGGCACCTGTCTCTGAGTGAGGGTCCTTGATGCTTACGAGGGATGGCCCCCATGCCCCCATGCCCTGAGCATCGGACTGGCAGGATTAGGTTGTACCTGGCATCATGCTGTCCATCATAGAATCACCAGCCACTAGTCAGTTCCCTTGGGTAGTTTCTGTGTAAAGGTTTTGGATTTTTCCAAGTAGAGAGACCTGGATTGAGGGGAGAGAGGGACTCTCACAATAGGATGCGTTGAGCCTTCTCCCCAAGGGTACGAAGTGGGACTGACTCCCCAGCTGAGACTTGGGGTTGTGCTCCCAGTGGCTCCAGAAGTTGTGGTCCATGAGGAGGCTAGAAAGGGGAACCTTACTTGTCTCCACAGGACTGTGTCTCACTGCAGAAATCACAGAAGTTCATGGTTCTTCCTTCATGCAGCAGGTATTTGAGTGCCTACATGTGTTAGGTACTGTTCTACAAACTGGGGAAGAAGTGAATAATTTTTTTTAAAAGTCCTTTTTATTCTTGTGGAGCTTAAATATTTGAGGGTGGGGGAAGAAGGTACAAAGAAGAATCAAACACAAATTGTCCATCCTGCGCTGTAAAGAAACACAGTGAAAGGGATGGAGAGTGACCCGTAGGGCAGCCCAAGGGGTGCGGCCAGAGATGTTCTCAGAGAAGAAACCTGACTGAGGGGAGAGAAAGCAGGGCGGGTTTGAGCCAACAAGGAGGTGACTGAGCTCAGATAGGGGGGCGAGGAAGAGGGTGAGGTGCTGGTGGTGGGGCCACATCGGGAAGGGTCTTCGGACCACGGGGGCAGCATTAGCCCATGCAACGTCCAGGGAGATGGACAACTCTGTCTCAGGCACTTTAGGTTCTGTGAACTTAGGGTTTGTCTTAGTCCATTTGTGTTGCTATAACAGAAACACCTGAGACTGGGCAATTTATAAAAAACAGGTTTGTTTGGCTTATGATTCTGGGACAGCTACATCTGGCATGGGCCTCAGGCTGCTTCTACTCATGGCGGAAAGTGGCAGCAGCTGGCAGGTACAAGCAGATCACATGGCAAGAGGAAGCAAGAGAGACAGACAGGTGGTGCCAGGGTCTTTTAAACAACCAGCTCTCGCAGGAACTAATAGCTCAAGAACTCACTCATTAATCCCCCACCTAGGGAGAGCATGAATCCATCATGAGGGATCCACCCCCATGACCCAAACTGCCACATTGGAGATCAGATTTCCATGAGTTCTGCACGACAATACGTCCAAACTTCACCAGGGTGGAGGATAAATTAAAACAAATCCATTGGACCGTTTGGGAGTTATTTTATTCATTGTCTCAAAGTTGCCTTACTATCCAAAGAATGTTGATTTTCAGCTTTTGCTTTAACATCTCACCTCCTAGTGTAAAGAACAAAGTACTATGCCTACTTGGAAGAAAATATATTCTAAGAGAATGAGCAAGTAAACCCTTTAAAGTTTTGCGGAATGAAAGTGTTGTCCCTGCTAAGGGCCATGCTTGTAACTTTCTGCTTGACAGGGGCACAGCGTGGAAAGGCAGGAAGTGGGGCGTTATTCCCTGCCCAGAACACAGGGGCTACATTCCTTTTGTTGATTAGACAAGAAAGTGAGGGTGTTTTCTTGTTACCTTGCGGGTCCAGGAAGATGGGTGATTTTTTCCAAGGGAAAGGAATAGGACTTTTGTGGATACCAGTCTCCTCTCTTTTTGGTCCATCCCACCAGCTCTTGCTAAATTAATCTTCCTAAGATGTGGCTGTCCTTGCCTTTATTTCATTATTTATGCAAACCCTTGGCTCCAGAAGGATTCTTTCCCTGACTATCTTCTCTCTATGCAGTTTTCTTTCTGGCTTCATCATTCTGCCTTTCTCCAAGCCCTGGGTTTCCACCCTCTTCCTCAGCATCCAGAGTCCTACCTTAGGTTCAGCCCAGATTGTTCCTCCTCCTTTGAATCTTTCTTGGTCGCTGTAGCACACACTAATTCCCTCCTTCCCTTAGCTCTTGCTGTCAACCCCGGTCACCCGAGGTCTGCTCTAGGTTGCGCAT